TTAAAAAAAAAATCAAGAAAACATCTATTTAATCAGATTTTCTTGGTAGAGACCAGATAATCTGGAGGGAAGAGGTGCAGAAGAGGTGGGAAGGAGCTAGGTAGAAGAATACCTCTAAGAATAAGATGAAAACTTGTTACAATACTGGCCAAATTTCCCGATGGAAGTACACCCAATTAATATCCATTTTGGGTATCCTCATCAATTTCTACTGTATTAACCCTTTCTTTAACAAAAGCACAACTGTTTTTCCTTCAGAAACACAACGAACTTTTAAGTAAAAGTAAAGCCTGTGTGTACTGTCAAAAGTAGTAAAAATTCAAAACTACCACTAAGCTGAAATTCCTCAAGGTGTTTGCCATTTCAAGAAAAATGATTCTTAATGGCCAAGGTAAATAGAGGTGAGCCAATGTTTATTATCTACGTTTAGGTATTATTTCACTACTCACAAGGAGTCCCTGGGTAGCAGAAAAGGTTAAGCATAGGACTACTCTTTTAAAAAACAAAACTTTTATTAGGGGCTCTTTTATCTCTTATCATAATCCATACATTCCTCCAATGTGTCAAGCACATTTGCCGCCACCATCATTTTCAAAGCATTCTCTTCCCACTTGAGCCCGATATCAGCTCATTTCTTCCCCCTTCCTCTCCCGCCCTCCCTCCCTCACGAACCCTTGATAAGTTATAGATTTTTTTCCCTATCTTACATTGTTCTCCGTCATCCCCTCACCCACTTTTCCGTTATTCATCCCCCTGGGAGGGGGTTATAACTTGATCCTTGTGATCGATTCCCCCCACTCTCCCCTAATCCTCCTGTATCTCTACTCTCCTTGTTGGCCCTAAGGGGCTTATTCATCCTGGATTCCCTGTGTTGCGGGCTTTTATCTGCAGCAGTGTGCATGCTCTGTTCTAATCTGATTTGTAAGATAGAACTGAGGTTATGATAGTGGTGAAGGAAGCACCAAAGAGCAAGAGGAAAGTTGTGTTTCATGGGTGCTATACTATACTCTGACTGACTCATCTCTTCCCTGTGACCCCTTTGTGAGGGGATGTCCAATCGTCTACAGATGGGCATTGGGTCTCCACTCCATTCCCCTCACCCTCCACATTCACCTTGGGTATGGTTTTATTCTGGGTTTTTAGATGCCTGATACCTGATCCCATAAACACCTCATGATCACACAGGCTGGTATGCTTCTTCCATGTGGGCTTTGTTGCTTCTGAGCTAGATGGCTACTTGTTTATATTCAAGCCTTTAAGACCCAAAACTCTATATCTTTGATACCTGGGCACCATCAGCTTTCTTCACATTTGCTTATGCACCCACTTTGCCTTCAGCGATTGTGTCAGGAAGGTGAGCATCACAGAGTGCCAGATTGTTAGAACAAACTGTTCTTGTGTTAAGGGAGTACTTGAGTTGAGGCCCAATAGGACTGCTAACTCTTAAGTTGCCGCTGGA